GAAATACTTTGACCGGGGAATCTGGAACTGCTTTGTTGATTCCCGTGATGCTTACTTTGTGGCATCATCTTTGCTAGAGAACTCCATCGAGCAAAGGTACTATGGGACTAGGTTTCCAAACAAACTTTGGATCGGTGCTTTTGGTTACTAAACTTGCCACAGCTTGTGAAACTGGGAAACAGTACTGCGTTGGACCGCCAAGATGATTGTAGAGTCGTAGAGTTTCTCATCGTGTGGTATGATGCAATTTGCTGTATTCAAACTGGAATTCCATGCATTTTCGACCATCTTTGGAATGTCGAAAAGATTTTATATCCAATAGTGGATTCACATGGAATTTGATGCTGTTTCAATCCCCTTTGGTCTCAGCGTGATGCGTTCTGTCCGAAGATGAGCTCAAACCTGGAATTGATCGAAGAATCGATTCTGCATTTGGAACAGCTGCATGGTTTACAGTCGTGCTCTCCATCTCCTGAGGATTTCTGAGTTGGATGCTGAATTTGTTGGAATGTTTTGAAACTCATTTGTGGTGATCTGAAAAAGTTTCGGACTGCATTGCATGTTTATGATATGTTTGAAGTCTCTCGGAAACATGTCAAGTGGCGTGAAGATGTTTGAAGTGTTTTTGGCAATCATGAAATGCTGTCATGATTGACTGAAAGTAGCTGCAGCGCCTGTCATCGGCAGTGGCAGTGTGCAGTTTGATGTTCACGGATGGGTCACTCGGTGTTCCCCGAAATGTTTGGTTTTTCCTCTCGATGATGACCACAGTTGATCATGGTGCTTGCATTTTGCATGCACAGAATGCTTTAAAGCATTTTGAAGGATCACTGATTCCTGTGTTGAAAAGATCGACTGCTGAGGGGGAAAAACACAAACCTTGTCTGGTTTTCTCTGTTTCTTTTTGGGCTAATTAAAATGACCTACTTAGCTGAACTAAACAACCAGGGTTTGTAGGTCAACAGAGCTATGAACCTGAAAGAATTCGCTTTGGACGTCACGTTTTTGGTGACTTTTGTCCAGAGAACAGTGTTTCAAGGCTGACATTTGGAAGGTACTTTTAACTTTTAATCATCTTCACTTTGTGTCGCAGGGCACCAAGCACTTTGCATGAATGTGCGAAAACTTTGCTCACGTGATTTGTGACTTTGTTTAGCTTTCTCATGCAATGCCTAATTTATGTGGACTTAAAGTGAACTTTAGTCCTCCGCTCTACATGCATGAGACTTCTGCCAAATACTTGGCTCAAGGCTCAAGATCTGGCTTCAGATGCCTGGTGTAAAAAAGGAACTTTGAGTCTTACTTAGGTGGGGCTTGGAGTTAAGTTGTTAGTATTTTGGTACTCTGGGAATCTCGCATTGGTTGTTTGGTTGTTTGGTTGTTTGGTTGTTTGGTTGTTTGTTGTTTTTTTTTGGGTGTTTTGTGTGTTGTTGGTTGTTTGTTGTTTGTGGTTGGTTGGTTGGTTGGTTGGTTGGTTGGTGGGTTGGTTGGTTGGTTGGTTGGTTGGTTGGTTTGAATGGTTGGTTGGTTGGTTGATTGGTTGGTTGGGTTGGGTTGCTTGGTTGCTTGATTGCTTGGTTGCTTGGTTGCTTGGTTGCTTGGTGGGTTGGTGGGTTGGTGGGTTGGTGGGTTGGTTGGTAGGTTGGTGGGTTGGTTGGTGGGTTGGTGGGTTGGTGGGTTGGTGGGTTGGTGGTGTTTTTTAATTGTTTTTTGTTGTTGTTGTTGTTGTTGTTGTTGTTGTTGTCGTCGTCGTCGTCGTCGTCGTCGGCGTCGTTGTTTTTGGCTATCAGCTGACTGGCCGCTCCAGATGTAGTGCAATGTATGATTCGGTCATCGTACGCCCGGGCGGGGTGGGGTGGGGTGGGGCTAATAATATCCCTTGGCATTTGCACACCTACGTGATGCTACGTTAGGGACTGGTGGGGTGGGGTCGGGCTAAAAACGTTCCTTGGCACTTGCAAACCTACGTGATGCTACATTAGAGATGGGGTGGGGTGGGGTAGGGTGGGGCTAACAACGTCCCTTGGCATTAATGCTACGGTAATAAAACATGTTGCTACGCTTCCACATGCCTTCGATGCTACGCTAGCATATGTTTCGCTTGCACATGCGTGATGCTACGCTAGCAAATGTTTGAACCAACGGTAACAAAATATGTTGCTTCGCTTGCGCATGTTTTTAAACGTGCGCTAGATGATAACTGAAAACGGTAACAGAATAGGTTACTACGCTTGGACATGCCTTGGATGCTACGCTAGCATTTGTTTGATGCTTCCCAAATGCTTGTGGCAGAGTTGAGAAAAGATGCGTCTAAGCCGTTTGGGCATGTGATGTGTTAGGAAATATGTAGTTTCATCTGTGCGAAATACCGTTTCGTTCATTGTGAACTGGCCCACGCAGTATGACATGATACTCTCTAAATGACATTCGAATATGAAAAATGTCAAAAAATTGGGATTTCAGGGTTTCCTCTTGAGAATGGAAAAAACATGTCGACAGTTGCAGGGTGGTGAGTCACCCGATTCTCTTGTTTTTCTTCTTCTTTTCATTTTTCTTCTTTTTGCTGGTGGTGGTGGTGGTACCTGGTAGCTGGGGTGGTGGTTGGGTATTATGTGTCTCGTGCTGGTTGTTGGTTCTTGGTTTGTGGTTCTTGGTTGTTGGTTGTTGTTATTGTTTCTGGTGTTGCTGTGGGTGTTGATGTTGGTGGTGCTAATGGTAGTGTTGTTCGTGTTGTTGTTGTTGTTGCTGCGGTTGCTGCGGTTGTTGCGGTTGTTGTTGTTGTTGTTGTTGTTGTTGTTGTCGTTGTCGTTGTCGTTGTCGTTGTCGTTGTCGTTGTCGTGGTTGTTGTTGTTGTTGTCGTTGTCGTTGTCGTTGTCGTTGTTGTTGTTGTCGTTGTGGTTGTTGTCGTTGTCGTTGCTGTTGTCGTTGTCGTTGCTGTTGCTGTTGCTGTTGCTGTTGTTGTTGTTGTTGTTGTTGTTGTTGTCGTATGTTTTTTTTTCGCGGTTGTGTCTTCTGTATTTTTTATGTTTGTTTTCGTCGTTTTTGTTTGATTTTTTGTGGCGGTGGTCAGTGTGGTGGTGAAGGTGGGGGGTTCTGCTGTGCAATTCTGTTGTTGAATCATTTGTGTTTTGAGAATTGTCCCGGTGTGCGAAATTTGATTTTTTGATTCGTTTGCAAAAAAAATAAAACAACAGAAAAACCTCCGGATACAAGAGAATTGCGCCATTTGTTTCTCAATTGTCGAGGCGTTCATGGATGCATTCACGGGTTTGGCACTTTCAGCGACCAAATGTGTGTTGATATGAATTGTCGCTTGAAACTGGGCGAGGGCATTGCAGAGCCACAGCTGGAATTTTGTCCCTGTTGCGAGTTCGAACTGGGGAACCGAACATATGGTTCGCAGTAAACATGTAAATAGAACCAAACAAATGTTGGATGTGTGTGTGTGTTATACGCACGCAATTGCCAAAAGGTCAAAGGTAAAAACCTTCTATGTCTTTCTGTTGTTGCACATGAAAAAGCAGCCGCCCGTTTGCAATACCGCAATTGTATAATGTGACTAAACCAAAGACCGACAGAGACAAACAGATCATGATGTGTGCAAATATTGTGCAAACACATGATCACATGCCAACAACATTTCAGGTAATATGTTCTGTATATCACCCAATTACTACGACGGTTTGTCTATCTATATATGTATGTAATGTAATGTAATGTACTGTACTGTACAGTACAGTACTGTAATGTAAAGTAATGTAATGTAATGTAATGTAATGTATGTATGCATGTATGTATGTATGTATGTAGTTAATGTATGTATGTATGTACGTACGTACGTACGTACGTACGTATGTATGTATGTATGTAGGTATGTATGTATGTGTATCTGTATGTGTATGTGTGTATGTGTGTATGTGTGTTTGTGTGTATGTGTGTATGTAGTTTATGTATGTATGTACGTACGTACGTATGTATGTAGGTATGTATGTATGTGTATGTGTGTATGTGTGTATGTGTGTATGTGTGTATGTGTGTATGTACGTATGTGTGTATGTGTGTATGTGTGTATGTGTATGTATGTATGTATGTATGCATGCATGCATGCATGCATGGATGGATGTATGTATGTATGTATGTATGTATGTATATAGGTAGGTAGGTAGGTAGGTAGGTATGTAATGTATGTAATGTATGTAATGTATGTAATGTATGTAATGTATGTAATGTATGTATGTAAGTATGTATGTATGTATGTATGGATGGATGGATGGATGGATGGACGGATGGGTGGGTGGATGGATGGATGGATGGATGGATGTATGTATGTATGTATGTAATATATGTAATGTATGTAATGTATGTAATGTATGTAATGTATGTAATGTATGTAATGTATGTATGTATGTATGCATGCATGCATGCATGCATGCATGGATGGATGGATGGATGGATGGATGGATGTATGTATGTATCTATGTATGTATGTATGTATGTATGTATGTTTATGCGTATGTTCTCATGGGTCTCCATTTGGAACGGTTTTGGAGTTAGTTGTTTGCTTTGTTTTTTGCATTTTAATGAAACCAAATTGCAAACCTATACGCAGATGAGTGTGGTGTTTTTTGATGGTGTTGGTGGTGTTTGTTTGGTTAGATGTTCGAAAATGAATCGTTGAACCTGTTCAACCTTCAGCATGTGATACTGACATAATTTGCAAAATAGTATGGTTGAAATCTGTTCAAAAAAATCAATGCATGTTCCGAAGCTTCATTCTTGCCAAAATTTGATTGTTTGCGATGTCCCGAGATGGTTTGGACCCACCATGTGCATAAATTGTTTTAACATTTTGAGTATTCATGAAAACAAAAGAAGGACTTGCGGACGAAATTTGCAAAACCCACTGCATAACAGAATCATTTCTTGGTATTGGTTTTCCTGGAAAACATGACAGCTTCCCTAAACAACACAAGTGTTGGTAAACGCCATCATCATTGTCGCAATGCCAGCCGTGCTTCCGCCAAGACGCCACTTCCGGCGGCCAACGGCTCCACCAGCTCCACCAGACGAGTTCTGCCCAGAGGCCTGAACCCATTTCGGTGATGTTTTTTCATGTAACAAATTGACCTGAACCAAATGGCAAAAATAAATAAAAATAGGGTAATTCCCCAATTTTTGCCAAATGTTTGTGATGTCGGAATCCATTTTTAACAGAGTCCAAGTAGGGTCAGGGCAAATTCAAACCGACGCTGGTCAAAACCGAATGCGAGGTACCTCTGACATGGCAGCGGGCAATGCGGAAGGCCGATGAATGTTTGTGTGAATCGGATTCCATGATTGCTGTTGTCAGGTCATCGTAGATCGGCAAGTTTGGTTGATTTTGCTTTCGTTCACATATTTCGTGTTGTTGGGAACATCAAAGTGACATTCCGAATTTGCAACAACAAAACGTTTTTCCAGGTATCCAAACTTCCGCGTCTGAACAAGATGAAAATCACGATTCCCAACGAGCGCCCGGGTTTCCCAGCTGATGCTTGTTGGTTAATATGTTTTCACTGATGGTTTGCTCTTTGAATGAACACGCAGTGAGGTGTGGTCACGAAATCAAATCGACAGTGGCTGACGAAGAGGGGATGGCTTGGCATGTTTTGAAGTTCAAGTCACAGAATTCAGTTTGTTCCCAGGCATTGTGATAATCCTCAATATATTAGGTAGTAGCAGTATAACTTAGTATAACCCCCTATAATGATCAATCGAAGGAAAAACTTGTTCAATGTTTATTGACGGTTTGCTAACCACCATCGTTGGCCACGGTGATTTGTTCACCTTTTTGGCCAGGCCGCGTTTATCGACGGGTTGGGCTTGACCCAGCACTTGAAAGACTCTTTGGCCTAGGGCCTCCAGCACCTCCAGCGTTGAGTCCTGCTGATGATTTGCACCATGAAAGCGAAGAGCATGCACAACTTGTGGACCGTTTCATGAAAGAAATCTTAGCAGAGACTGGGCAGATGGCTCGCTGGGACAATATTTCCCAAATGGATCTGGATTCAAATCAGGCACCATCGCCCGATGCGGATTCCATGATGGCCAAAGTCTTCAAAGAAGTAGCGGCGTCTTCCCTTGGTTCTATTGAGTCCATCGTGGCACGCACCTACCATGGTACTCCAGACGACGATGATATTCGTTCCGTTTTGGCTAATGACCTTGCACAGCAGATTGTCAATGCTTCCCGTGGAACATCGCCCCTGGTGCATGCTTCCGAGGCAGGGTGGAGTGAGTCTAATGTTTTGAAACACTGAAACAGTGTTTGCCAACAACTCAACCGGTAAGTGCAGTAAGCTCAGAATCGACATCCCCAATTCTTTTAAAATGGGCGGTAGGAGTGGGTCAACCCCTGAGGTTCAGTCCGAGCTGGGGACAGAGAAGGGATCTGAAGTCTGTGCCATGCTGCGTGAATTTCTCAATCCTTCACCTACGATCGAGAACATGGAGAATATGGATGTTGGAGTTGGCGTGTCTGATGCACAGCTGTCGGACACAGACATGGTAGCAACGCACCTTGCCAGACATATGATTCAGTCAATTCAGTCCATCTCCAGATTCTCCAGTCCCAAGCTCGACATCCCAAGCTCGGCTTCAGCTTCAGCAATCGACGGAAGCCATTCGCAGCTGGCGCAGTCCCTGGCGCAGAAAATCCTGGTGAATTTGGAGTCCAGTGCCTCACCACATTCAGAGCAAGCAGAGCAAGCAGAGGACGGATGTATTGATGTTCCTGTCCTGGAAGGTGATTGGAACCCAGCTTCCAATGTTTCCACTGGGCATTCAGCGGTGCCATCCGATGCCGCCATTGACATGGCCAAAGGTGTGATCTTTGGTGCAAGCTCACACAGTGCAGTGCCTGCGCACTCCGATGCAGCTTCGCAAGGACAACTTTCTCAGAACACAGATTCTGTTGTTGCGGAATCGATTACTAGAAATCTCATTGTGGGTGGGATGTGCGATTCTGATGTTCGTTCTCAAAGTGGACACATACCAGAGGAAGCGTTGTCAGATGGTTATGCAGTGAACGGTGTTGCTAGAGAAGTCATTGTGTCAGCAGCCGCACAGGAAGTACCAACACAGCGTACGGCCCCATCCTCCCACATTGAATCGGAAGGTGCAGTTTCCCATGCTGTGCAGTTGGTCGCAAGAGATACGTTTGCAGAGCATGCAACAGTTCCCTATGCCAGTTCATTGCCAAAGGATCTAGTCGAGCAACCACGATCAGATGCTGATGGTGGTGCAGAGGTTCAAGCAATCCTCAGACAGACCATTGATGGCGCTTGTAGTGGCACGTCAGCTCAAAGCAAGATCCCTCCTTCCCAACAAGAATCTGAGCATGCCGACTCCATGGTAGCAGGATCTGCGGCCAGACAGATCATTGCACCCCATGCAGCTGCTGGTTCAAACTCTAGAGATGTGGAGGAGCAAGTTCATTCAGAGGCTGAGGTGTATGTGGATGCAGTGGAACAAGCGGTGGCTCGAGAATTTGTTGCTTCTGCAAGCAATCTTCAGGGTGTCCCTCAACCATCGCATGAACAACTTTCTCAGAAAACAGATTCTGTTGTTCCGGAATCGATTACTAGAAATCTCATTGCGGGTGGGATGTATGAGTCTGATGTTCGTTCTCAAAGTGGACACATACCAGAGGAAGCGTTGTCAGATGGTTATGCAGTGAACGGTGTTGCTAGAGAAGTCATTGTGTCAGCAGCCGCACAGGAAGTACCAACACAGCGTACGGCCCCATCCTCCCACATTGAATCGGAAGGTGCAGTTTCCCATGCTGTGCAGTTGGTCGCAAGAGATACGTTTGCAGAGCATGCAACAGTTCCCTATGCCAGTTCATTGCCAAAGGATCCAGTCGAGCAACCACGATCAGATGCTGATGGTGGTGCAGAGGTTCAAGCAATCCTCAGACAGACCATTGATGGCGCTTGTAGTGGCATGTCAGCTCAAAGCAAGATCCCTCCTTCCCAACAAGAATCCGAGCATGCCGACTCCATGGTAGCAGGATCTGTAGCCAGACAGATCATTGCACCCCATGCAGCTGCTGGTTCAAACTCTAGAGATGTGGAGGAGCAAGTTCATTCAGAGGCTGAGGGGTATGTGGATGCAGTGGAACAAGCGGTGGCTCGAGAATTTGTTGCTTCTGCAAGCAATCTTCAGGGTGTCCCTCAACCATCGCATGAACAACTTTCTCAGAAAACAGATTCTGTTGTTCCGGAATCGATTACTAGAAATCTCATTGTGGGTGGGATGTATGAGTCTGATGTTCGTTCTCAAAGTGGACACATACCAGAGGAAGCGTTGTCAGATGGTTATGCAGTGAACGGTGTTGCTAGAGAAGTCATTGTGTCAGCAGCCGCACAGGAAGTACCAACACAGCGTACGGCCCCATCCTCCCACATTGAATCGGAAGGTGCAGTTTCCCATGCTGTGCAGTTGGTCGCAAGAGATACGTTTGCAGAGCATGCAACAGTTCCCTATGCCAGTTCATTGCCAAAGGATCTAGTCGAGCAACCACGATCAGATGCTGATGGTGGTGCAGAGGTTCAAGCAATCCTCAGACAGACCATTGATGGCGCTTGTAGTGGCATGTCAGCTCAAAGCAAGATCCCTCCTTCCCAACAAGAATCCGAGCATGCCGACTCCATGGTAGCAGGATCTGTAGCCAGACAGATCATTGCACCCCATGCAGCTGCTGGTTCAAACTCTAGAGATGTGGAGGAGCAAGTTCATTCAGAGGCTGAGGGGTATGTGGATGCAGTGGAACAAGCGGTGGCTCGAGAATTTGTTGCTTCTGCAAGCAATCTTCAGGGTGTCCCTCAACCATCGCATGAACAACTTTCTCAGAAAACAGATTCTGTTGTTCCGGAATCGATTACTAGAAATCTCATTGTGGGTGGGATGTATGAGTCTGATGTTCGTTCTCAAAGTGGACACATACCAGAGGAAGCGTTGTCAGATGGTTATGCAGTGAACGGTGTTGCTAGAGAAGTCATTGTGTCAGCAGCCGCACAGGAAGTACCAACACAGCGTACGGCCCCATCCTCCCACATTGAATCGGAAGGTGCAGTTTCCCATGCTGTGCAGTTGGTCGCAAGAGACACGTTTGCAGAGCATGCAACAGTTCCCTATGCCAGTTCATTGCCAAAGGATCTAGTCGAGCAACCACGATCAGATGCTGATGGTGGTGCAGAGGTTCAAGCAATCCTCAGACAGACCATTGATGGCGCTTGTAGTGGCACGTCAGCTCAAAGCAAGATCCCTCCTTCCCAACAAGAATCCGAGCATGCCGACTCCATGGTAGCAGGATCTGTAGCCAGACAGATCATTGCACCCCATGCAGCTGCTGGTTCAAACTCTAGAGATGTGGAGGAGCAAGTTCATTCAGAGGCTGAGGGGTATGTGGATGCAGTGGAACAAGCGGTGGCTCGAGAATTTGTTGCTTCTGCAAGCAATCTTCAGGGTGTCCCTCAACCATCGCATGAACAACTTTCTCAGAAAACAGATTCTGTTGTTCCGGAATCGATTACTAGAAATCTCATTGTGGGTGGGATGTATGAGTCTGATGTTCGTTCTCAAAGTGGACACATACCAGAGGAAGCGTTGTCAGATGGTTATGCAGTGAACGGTGTTGCTAGAGAAGTCATTGTGTCAGCAGCCGCACAGGAAGTACCAACACAGCGTACGGCCCCATCCTCCCACATTGAATCGGAAGGTGCAGTTTCCCATGCTGTGCAGTTGGTCGCAAGAGATACGTTTGCAGAGCATGCAACAGTTCCCTATGCCAGTTCATTGCCAAAGGATCTAGTCGAGCAACCACGATCAGATGCTGATGGTGGTGCAGAGGTTCAAGCAATCCTCAGACAGACCATTGATGGCGCTTGTAGTGGCACGTCAGCTCAAAGCAAGATCCCTCCTTCCCAACAAGAATCCGAGCATGCCGACTCCATGGTAGCAGGATCTGTAGCCAGACAGATCATTGCACCCCATGCAGCTGCTGGTTCAAACTCTAGAGATGTGGAGGAGCAAGTTCATTCAGAGGCTGAGGGGTATGTGGATGCAGTGGAACAAGCGGTGGCTCGAGAATTTGTTGCTTCTGCAAGCGATCTGCAGCATGTACCGCGTACAAATCCTTCCTCGGAGGTCTGTTCGGAGAAGACAGACTCGGCTGTTGCGCAATCTTTGGCCAGAGAGGCCACGCTTCCTTATGTTCTGGAATAAAGGGAGAAAAGGGAGAATATCTTTCCATTTTTTGATGCTTTTCTTGGCAGAAAAGAATAACAATAGTAATAATATATATATATAGATAGAATAGTCATTTTACATGTTGATTATCATGAGTTTGCCATGCTCACAAAGGGGAGTATGTTCGTGCAGCTCATCCGTTTCAAAGCTGTTGCAGCTCGTCATGGATTGGGACGGCGAGAACATGGCACAATTTCAGTGTTTGATTTTAAGCTGGAGCTGGAGGCTTTTAACCGGGCATACCTGACGCCCTGAGGGCTTGTGCCACAACTGGCTTCTGGCTGAAAGCTTCTTTAGCGCTCTGATTTTGGCTGTCCTGCATGTCATAGGCTGTTGTGAATCAAGAGACCATGGAGTAGATTTGTTTTCATGTTTCGACTGTGAAGCCATACCAGACAGTTTTTGTCCTTGAGTGCCAGAATCTTCAATGCCGTGGCCACGATTCAATGGGCCGATGATATGCAACCACTCTCCACATGCGTGCGAAGCACGTTAAGACAATTATGCAATCTGCGAATGCAGATGAACCACTGGTCAGCCGCAATACCGCTGCAGCAATGAGGTTAAAAGACCGTGCTTTCACGTGCTCAGGATTGGCTCTTGGTGACTTGTGTAACAGGCAAGTCAGTTGAAAGGTTGCAAAGACTCCACAAGCTGGAAGTCAGCAGTTATTAAAGCACAGGTGGATTGACTGCAGCAAGGACTCTCAGGCTTCTAAGCCACTGCAAAACCTGACTGTCAGTGCCAAAGATTTGAAGAGGCCGCTATATCAGATCAGGAGGTCCGCGACATCATGTGCCAAGGCAAAATTTATCACCAATCCTTGATTTCCAGGCGATTTCTAGTTTCGACTGCTACTACTTGCAGACTTTGTTTTGCATTTGAAGATGAAGTCATGACTCATGACCCTTGGTCTCAGCCCCCTGTAGTTAGGAATTCACACGCAATCTTTTGGCTTTTAGCTCCCTCCGATTGGCACAGGATGTCAGGTCCCGCTCCATTGCACGTGTGTGCGGTTTGCGGACGCTGGCGAAATATTAATCCTGTGTGTGGTTTGTGCAGGGCAGCTAGGGCTTTTGGATCAATTGCTTTTGACCCACGGCTCACCGAAGCTGGGGTACTACCAATATTGGATATTCTGGATAGAACTGTTGGTGAGGTTTACGGTCTGCTTGCAACACAGCCTGTACCCTTGCCACCTTCAATTTCGGGAGCAGCCCCTGATTTGCCGGGGGAAGCTCCTGTTCCTGCTGGGGCGGCTCCTGCGTCTGCGGGAGTTGCGCCGGCGGTTTCGAGTCCAGGGAGAGCCGCAGCGAAATCTAGCGCCAAGGCCCCTTCTCCTGTTTCTGCGGGAGGAGGTGGTCTTCCAGCTTCGTCTGGTAGCTTGGCAAGGGCTAGCGCACCTTTTGAGGACGATCGCCCGCCACTGCCTCGGCGTTTTCCTGTGACCCGAGAGGCGCCCAATCCCCCAGCTCCTGTGCCTCCAAGAGCAGAGGGTCAAAGGCCGCGAAAAAAGAAAAACAAGGGTAAAAAGTGGAGAGAAAGGGGGGAAGAGCGTAAGGCAGCACGCCTTGCAAGAGAGGCAGCGGCAGCGTATCAACCCCCTACCGGAGACACAGACGAAAGCGAAAGCGATGCCCCCTAAGGTGAAAGCAAAAGCCAAAGCAAAAGCTTTACCTAAGGCGGCAGGGAAAGCCAAGGCGAAAGCTAAGGCTAGAGTTGCGTCGCGCAGAGCAGGACTGCTACGGAAGCGGCCAGCACGGGCTCCTCTTGACGGTGCGGGAAGCCCGTGTGCCTCCCCTGTTCCTGAGCCTGAGCTGTTCGCGCCAGTTGCGGAGAGCAGGTTCCGGCGGGAGGGAAAATACCATATTAAGGGTAAATACCTTGGTGTTGACGCGGAAGCAGCAGTAAAGATTGACAGTCTTGTTGAAGATTCTTTGGGAAAATGGGCCCAAGTAACTCTTTTGGGAACCAACCACGACAGTTTGAGAGAATGGCGTCTTCAGTCAAGTGCCCCCCTGTTCATCTCAAGGGTAGGCGTGACCACCGATCAGCAAGTGATGGACCAAGAGTTGTTCTACACCCGCGAGGTTGGAGAGATAGACGAGAAGATCACATGGATCACCAATCTCAAAGATCATGGTTCCACGGGGGGTCTTTCAGGGATCAACCAACTGGCCCGGGAGTTAGGTTATGGGGGAGGACAAGGAGTAGGTCCAAGGGAGAGGACGCCAGGAGGGGCCGATCCAGCCAGTCCAGCCAGTCCAACAAAGCCGTCGAAAAAGAAAAGGCTTCGCGGGAGGGAAAGAGTGAAAGCTATGCTCAAAGACAGCCAATGGTCATGGAAAAACAGCGCCCTAGATCCGAGATTCAAACGGCCAAAAATTCGGTTGAAGAGGAAAAAAGACAAATCCAGCTCATCGAGCACAACCGAGACAGAGAAGAGCAACGATTCAGAAGAGGAAGATCTGTTCCCAGAGGAGGATCAGATCAAATACATACACAGGAAATGCCCGGGGTTGCTGACACGTCATGGAATCAAGCAGGCAAAATGCAGGGTTCTAGCTCTTCAGGGAGAAGGTGGGGAAGGCAAGAATCCAGAGCCAGTATTTGTTCGATATCATCGTCAGATATTTGCCCCGCAGAACCCAAGCGCACCCCTGAAACGAGAGCATCTGACACTGTCGACGGTGTTGGATTGCATTCTGCGGGGGGAAATTTTGAAAGGATCAGATATACTGACCCAACGATTGAAATCGTTGGAGCAAATTGCGCACGGAGCACCAGCACACCTTGCCTTGAAGTTAGAAATTCTACCACCAGAATCCACTACTCTCGCGAGCATCGAAGAGTCGAGAACAGCGGCAACGCAGCACCATCGCGAACTCAAGGTAGCGGAGGTTTGGAAGGGGAAAGGCAAGCAAGGCTCATGGGGACCCAGCCCGCCTTTGACCCCCGGCAACACCAAAGGGCTGAAAGGGAACAAAGGTTCAGGCGCAAAGGGAATTCAAGGGAAAGGAGACAAGGGAGACAGGGGGAGCAAGGGAGAGCAATCTGGGAGAACAGCTATAGTGGCCCCGACATAATTGTAGATGATGTATCCAGGTCCCCTGAACTTACGGGGGGCTTTAGCTTGGGAAGGACTCCTGAGGATGCGGGAGCAGATGCTGTGGGTTGCAGCTTCAACTCTGAGAGGCACCCTGCCAGAGAGCTCAAAGGGGCGCTCAGCAGAGTTGGCACAGAGCTGTTTTTGACCCTAAAGAAAAAAGCAGCTACAGCGGTTAACACGGGTGGGGGTGTATTTCCCCTCCCCATGGTCCCCTGTGACACGCCACGGGATGATCATGCAACTGACAAGGGTCATTGGTTGAATTGTCTCATAGCATCCTTGAACTGGATGTCAGGCGGGGTTTTGGGGGTTCCACCTAGGGGGGAGATGAATGCCCTTCAAAAAGATTTGGTTGGAACTTTGGAAGAATCCATGGTCTTGATAGACCGCTTTAGCCAAGAGAATTTCACTGATGAATCCATGCGTGCGTTTTGGAGCCGTAGGATTGTGAATGCTTACGGTGAAGAGTGTCACTCCGCTCAGAAAATTAGGTGGGCCAATCTTATCCACAGTTTGCCGCCCAAAGGGCTTGCCGGAATTGTCAGAGGCGAAGAGAGTTGTACAGGTGGGGTTAGAGATTTTCTTATTAACCCTGCGAAGTATTTGAAGCCAGTGCGGGAGTGGGTGTACATGCCACCTCCTCGTATCTTTGTGGATGAGGATGATTAGCCCGAAGTAGCTGCTGGGCTTATAGATCGGGGTATTTGTGAACCTTTTCCTTTGAAGGATGTCATCCGGGTCGATGGGAAACCCATGGTTGGGGGTTTGTTTGGTGTCCCCAAAAATGAAAACGTTGACGGTGTTGATGTTCTGCGACTCATCATGGATTTACGGCCGGTCAATTCCATGTTTCAGTCAATTGTCGGGGACATGTCTACCCTACCGATGCTTAGTCAGCTGCAACCCTTGGAGCTGTATCCCAATGAGACGCTGTTGATTTCCTCAGAAGATATCAAAGCCATGTTTTATGTGGTAAGTCTAGGTAGTGTATGGCGGCCGCTCCTGTGTTTCGGGAGGGTGCTGCCACCAGAGCTTTCCCCAGACCCACATGAAGAATATGTGCTTTCTAGTTTGGTGTTGCCGATGGGCTTCATCAATAGCGTTGCTGTAGCGCAAGCTTTGCACAGGGGTATTGTACATGCTGCCATGGATAAGCATAAGGTCAGCCGTTCTTTCGAAATTAGGCGTGACCAGCCTCTGCCACAGGAATCTCTGGGGTACCGCATCTACTTAGACAATTTTGACCTCTTGAGAAGAACAAACCCGGAGGCCGCTTCACTCCTAGATGGGACCCTGGATCCTTTGGCGGGGGCTTTGCGGGAGGAATACAGCAGGCATAAGGTACCCAGGAATTTGAAAAAGTCTGCGGAAAGTCAACTTGTAGCTGAAGTGCAGGGGGCCGTTGTTGATGGGGTTCAGGGCATCATTTACCCCAAGTTGGAAAAGGTAGGACGATACTTCAAAGCAGCATATCATCTCTTGAAAAGCGAGAGATGTGATTTGAAGCGTATGCAGGTGACTTTGGGGGGGTTCAATTACCTTTTCAGCTTCCGTAGGCCCCTGATGTCAATCTTCAACGAGAGTTGGACTTTTACGGCATCCTTTGAGGGTAACATGCGTTTGTGGCAGCCAATCCCTAACGAAGTGAAGGAAGAATTGTTTGCTGCTTTGTCATTGTCCTTGTTAGCCTTCATGGACATTAGGATGCCTTACGACCCTTTGTGCACTGTGTCGGACGCTTCGGAGGATGGCGGTGGTCTTTGCCAGAGCGTGGGCTTGACAGCCTTCGGACAAGCCGCCAAGAGCAAATTCATCAGGGGTGAAAGGGAGGAAGTGACCGATGACAACCAGCTTCTGGTGATTTCGTTATTTGATGGCATGGGAAGCTTACGAGTAGCCTTAGATACTATTGGTGCACAAATTTCTGGGTATGTCAGCGTGGAAAGGTCTAGCGAAGCATATCGTACTCTTCAAAGTAACTTTCCTGGAGTTCAACACTTTGACGACGTAGTTGATATCACACCTGCGGTAGTGCAAAGTCTAGCGGGAATGTATCCTAGGACCTCCTGTGTTTTGGTAGCGGGAGGACCACCTTCTGAGGCTTTTTCGGGGTCATGTAATTGTGACCCTGTGGCAGCTCTTCATTCTCATGTTTGTCGTGTAAGGGACTTATGCAAGGATGTCTTCAGTTGGTGTGAAACTTTGGTCCTTATGACATCTGGTTGCTCAATAGATGAGAAGGGCAGAGTCGAAATAACGCGCGCGATTGGCATGCTTCCTTTCAAAATCGACGCTTTGGGTTTGAGCTTGTGTCGCCGTCCCAGGTTTTGGTGGTTTGATTGGATCGTCGAGGCCGAGGATGGAGTTGAAATCTATTTGCCTCCCAATAGCGAAGCGCGTTCTTGGGGCCAAGTATCGTTCAATTTGGAAGTTAACCCTGATGACTACTTGCCTTACGGGTGGTCACTAGCGGGGGGAACTAACCATAAGTTATGCACTTTCACTACAAGTCAACCAAAAAAGGGCCCTGGGTTTAAACCAGCGGGGGTTCAGAGTTGTAGTGAACGGGATTTGTCCTTATGGGCTGGTGATAGGTGGAGGTTCCCGCCGCATCACTACAAGTATGAAAATGGTTTGGTTCACAAGAGAAAAGGTTGGAAGATGGTTGGGGTTTCAGAACGCGAATGTATTCTGGGCCTGCCATTGGACTATACGTTGAAATGTTTACCAAAGCAAGCAGTCAAAACTGATCCTTTGAAACACGAGGATACCAGGTTAACCTTATTGGGGAACAGTTGGGGTATTCAAGTGGCAGCGTTCTTGATGCGGTCATTATGCCTCCCTCGCAACCTGTGTCCCCAGATGAGTTTGCAAACAATGTTGCAACGGTGCCAACCAGGCTCTGGTCAAGCGGATGCCGGGTTGAACAGTTTTCTGACCAGGCCACCCTGGAAAGCGGGGCGGAATCCTGTTGTTGAGGGTAACTCAGAGATTTTGATTTCACGTTTGGGCACTTTGGTTTCGACAAAAGGTAGCGACATTCTTTTAAAAGCTGAAACAGAACCGGTTGTTACCTACGACAAGTTGCGAACAACTGTGCCTGCACATTTGTGGTCTTGGAAGACAGTCTGTGGGTGGCGTTGGAAGTATGGCCAATCTCCTGAGCAGCAAGAGCATATCAACAAATTGGAATTAAGGGCCGTGCTCACTAGTATTCGTTGGCGTATTTTCAAACAACGTATCAAGAAGACAAGATTCTTGCACTTGGTTGATTCACTTGTCAGTCTTCATATTTTGAACAAGGGAAGATCTAGCTCACGGTCATTGCAAAGGATTATCAAAAAGATCAACGCGTTACTCTTGCTTTCGCACACTCTGGTTCTCCTAGGTTATGTCGATACGGCGTCCAACCCGGCCGACGCTCCGAGTCGGCGAGGAATGAAGAAACGGAAATGGGCAAGCGTCGTATTATAGAGGGCAACTCCCAGGAAGCCAGAAAAATGCGAAGGCAAGAATTAGGACCGTTGAAATCCTTGATCATAAAACCTGCAACTTTAGAACGATACCGTAGAGCAGCTGACCATTTTTTTGCACATTTGCGTAGACAACGGGAGCCGATCCCTCAGACTCCTGAAATTATGGATATTGTACTTAGTGAATACATTGGTGAATTATGGGAAGAAGGCCACTCGAAGTCTTTAGCGGGGGATACCATCAGTGGTTTGCAGCATCATCAACCTTCACTAAAGGGCGAATTGAAAACATCCTGGCGGTATTTGAAAGCTTGGCAGCAGGCCGAGGTGCCGGCTCGGGCCCCCCCTTTTTCATTACAGACCCTTGCAATTTTTTGTGGTTGGGCACACCAACAAAATCCTCATTGGGCTTTGGCCTTACAGCTTGGTTTTCATGCGCTCCTGCGGACGGGAGAGCTGTTACAACTACAGGCTAAGGATTGTACTGTTCAACAAGATCATATACATTTATTCCTAGGGCAAACCAAGACTTCTTTTCGAAATGCAAATGTCGATTCTGTCCATTTTCGCCATCATCAACTCGCATTGCTGCTCGGTGCTTGGAAGAATTCGGTGCGCAAGAATGCCTACCTAGTAGATTGTAGCAATACAGCTTTTCGTACTTGGTTTGCCCGCGGGCTTCGGGATACATCTTTGGAACACATTGGTTACAAACCCTATTCTTTAAGGCGTGGGGGAGCAACCCATGTTTTTACAGAATCCCATTCTTACTCCACTGTGACACAACAAGGGCGGTGGAGTTCGCAGCAGACAGTTCGGGTATATATAGCAGATTCTTTGGCCTTGCTGAATGATTTGAATTTAAGACTGAGCCCAATTCATTTTACATGTCTTCGACAATGGAATGCAGTACTTAGGGAGCTTGAGCTTTCGGCGCGCCGAAGGAACGGGGAACGTGGATAGGACACAAGGATGCATCACTTAATGATTGTTTGTTGTAATTCCTGGTTTTTGTTGCTTCGTGTTTTGTGGAAATTAATTTCCTCTGATCCGGGTGGTTTTGTTTTGCGCATTTTCTTGCTGTTGTTGTTTTACCAACCAACTGCTGTAGCAAAAAAGATGAAGTGGTGCAATTCCTTGGTCTCAGCCCCCTGTAGTTAGGAATTCACACACAATCTTTTGGCTTTTAGCTCCCTCCGATTGGCCCACCTCCCCCGCCCGGATAGAGGACACAAGGATGCATCACTTAATGATTGTTTGTTGTAATTCCTGGTTTTTGTTGCTTCGTGTTTTGTGGAAATTAATTTCCTCTGATCCGGGTGGTTTTGTTTTGCGCATTTTCTTGCTGTTGTTGTTTTACCAACCAACTGCTGTAGCAAAAAAGATGAAGTGGTGCAATTCCTATATATATATAATATTTCGCCTTTAATTTGAAGTCATGACTCATGACTGACTTATGACCCTATATAGCTTTTGATTTGGCAGGGCGAATTCTATAAGTGTTTCGTGCCATGGGAGATGGACTCCACCTACTGCTGGCAGTGTCAGCAGATCGGTGTTCCACCGCACACTTTGCTGCTGAGACACTTCTCAGACTTCGAGCGCAAGGCTGGTGGCCGCAACGGCCGCGATGGCCGCGACAGCCACGAGGGCCGCGAGCCCATCCTGGTTCTGGGTGGGAGGACGGATCGGACGGCAGACGTCGACCCACCGATCCGCGACGCTGATCTGGTGGCGGCTTCACTGGTGATTCGTTCCTTGTCCAGAACCTCAACGCTGCCATCAGTGCGATTAGATCTCTGTGGGGAGCTCATCACATGTGAAGGTGCCAGGACCATTGCAGCAGTGCTCCAGGTGAGTGATCGCACTCTACGATCTCTGCTGCTTCGGCGAACGCATGTGGGAGACAATGGTGCTGCAGCCCTGGGAGCAGTTCTCAGCAGCATGTTATTGGAACTGGACCTTGGAGAATGTGCCATCACAGATGCTGGTTTGCGATATTTGGTTCGAGGGTCACAGCTTCATGGAGCTCCTTCCTGTTTGTCCGTCCTCTTGTTGGATGGAAATGCTACAGGCGATGCTGGAACCATTGAAGTGATTTCCTTTGTGGAGGGAAACGGCTCACTCTCTTGCCTCTCTGTGCAACCAGCTCTGCCACGCTTCCTCTCACAAGAAGTAGAAGCTGCTCTGCAGGTTCCTGTTCAGAGGGATGACCTGGGATGGTTTGGGATGGTTTGGGGTTTGGGATGGTTTGCACTTTCCTTGCTTTCCAAACACATCACCTTTCATCCCCAATTCTTATGAGGTTTTATGACGGGCTGTTTCAACACACCAGGTGGCTTGCGAGCTAAGTGGTGTCATGTTGGAACGCAAGGGTCGCAGCTGGTCCCTGGAGACTCTGGCCTCCAAATGTCAACCCCATCCAGTCGATGCAGAGGCCAGGTTGGGCCCAGTGATGTGCTGGGAAGTCCGGCATGTTGTCCTTGCCATTGCTTGCTGTTTTCACGTTTTCACTTCTTGGAGTGGTGGATGCATGCTGCCTTTAGCATCTTTCACAACAAGGTCATGAATGATTACGAAATGTCTATAGACACGATATGGTGTGAGAATCTGATATGAGGGTTTCCATAAATGGGGGATCCCCAATAGCTGGATGGTTTAGAATGGAACATTTCCCCAAAAATGGATGATTGCAGCATTTTGCACCTTTTCCTTTGCAAAGGTGACAGCTGTGACAGCTCTGCCCCGCTCCCTGGCTTCGCCCGCAGCGGCTCCGCCGGAGCGTGCGGACCGCGGACGAAAGCAGATGCCGGTGCCAGATGTGACGCTTGGATGCGAGATGTGGGTTTGGTACCTGAAAAATCCGGGAAATAAAAAACCCCAAAATCCCGTAGTTTGGAATTCTATGAAATGTATTTTGGACAGTCGATTGCCAGGTTTTCTTTACTAGAGACAGTGTGAAACTCTACATTCAAAATTGAAGCATCCCAAGTAGCATCCCGATGCATACGGTCAAATCAGTAGACTTCAGACACCCAGATGGCAGACTCTCAAAGGGTGGGAGCTGCCAAAGTCAGGCGTCATAGTGGCCACTTGGCATCTTGGATGGCGGGAACCGAGCGGGAACTGCGAGAACTGAAATGGCTACTGAGCTCCAGCTCTGCACGACTAGATGGACAACACAGGCCAGCGACAGCGAGAACGACAGCCACTTCTGGTACTCTGACAGCCCCTGAATTGGCTTGTTGAACTGCTTGTTGCTGTCAAGTGATGCCCACTCTGGTGCAGGAAGTTGATGTCCGAGCTCGAAAAGCTCCGGTTCCAACTGGATGCTTGGAGCAGTGGTGGATCAGAGCCTGACGAGGGTCGCCTAGATGTCTTGGAGGCTCCCTTGCAGGTGATTCAAATTCTTGGGGTTTGCAGTAGGTGGAAGTTGATAGAAATTCTGTTGCTCAGTGTTGCTGACCATTTCACAGGGCCTGGCAGGAGAGAACTTCGGCATAAGATTTGTGCCTCCAGGAAGTTTTCAGGGATGACTGCGAAACATCTCCAAATATTTCCCTGTGAACGTGTTTTGCTTGCAGGCGCGTTTCGATGCTTTGGAGCAGCTAGTCGGACGGGAACAGTCAGAATGTGCCCAGCAACTTGGCTTTCTACATCTTGGATTTGCTTCCATCATGTGCAACTGGCCTTTAGAAGCAAGCCTTGTCTTTCTTCCAAAGTACCTCGTTACTGTAAGCTTCTTGGGTTTTCGCCTGGGCGAAGGTGGCCGTTCCAAATGAACATGCAAACCCTTAAAGCTTAAAACCATAGCTGGAGGCTGCAAAAGGATGGAATTGGATTATGCACTGACATGCAACTAAATAATACTAAATATAGATAGCTGCAGCATGCTGCAACCTTGGGTGAGCCAGTGCCGGAGTCCTAGTTCGCCATGACCACAGTGGACCACAGTTCCAGGATGTGGCAATTGGTGGAGGTGGCTGCTGGGAGCGCCAGGGCCAGAAGTGCCAGCCCTCGTTAAGCGGGATTCCAAGTGTCATGGGGTGCTCAGGTGCGTTCTGGTATCTCTGGTCAGGTTCCAGCATGACCATATTCCCGTAAAGGTTGGTGTTTCTCAGTTTATGGAACAGGTAAGAAACATTTGTTTGGATCCGCAGCGAACGATCCCTGAAAGTCAAAGCACGCGTACGGGACAGTTCCCCATGTTTTAGGGTGTCCGACAGTCCGACCGTCTCCTCTTGAAATCGAGTGTCAAAAATCCAAAAGGGGTTTTTGAGCAAAAGCTCGTGATTAGCCAATGCTCAGTGGGAAAATCATGCGGTGTCCGTGTCCGATGGGCTTCCAATGGACTTTATCACATCATGAAAGGATGACCTAGGCGCTGTGTGGCACTTTGCGGAGGGCTTGTCTTGGCCAAAGCTTTCAAAGCTAAGCTATCAACATGTAATTTGGAACGTTGCAATTCACGGGCAAAGGAAGCACTTGAAGCAGCAATCGAGTTGCGACGCATAAATTGCAACACATGATCGACACTCAGCGAATCAAACAAATAATTTCAAGAATGCACCACACAACAGTCTGGTGAGTGTGAGCCATGCCGGACAACAATTCTACTTGGCTAGAGGCGGTGATTCCAGTGGATATTTTTTGCTGTTCAGATGTGTTCAGACACTTCATCCCAGTTGAGACGATTGAAGGTGGGAGACCCCACTGGCAAGGCGGGGATATGATGAATTCATCTGTTTGGCACTTCGTATGGCCTAAGCAATCGCTTTGGAACCGCTACGGTTTCAGAGTGTCTGGAAATGCTTCACTGTATGACAGCATCATTAAGGGTCATTTTCAGAAGACTGTGCAAACATATTTTTGATGATTTAACATTTTTAAATCAGTGATAATCAGTGTTCAACTTTTTGCTGCAAGCATCCATAGTATCCTCTGCAAGCATTCTCTGGTCTGTCCCTGTCTGCGAAAACTAATGGTCACTGCTGCCTGTACTGTATCCATCCGTCTATCTGTTGATCTGTTTCATCCATGAACTTATTTATCCGTTTTCCTGCCAATCCACGAGTCCGTCCATTCATACTTGTGCATCTGGATCCAGGCATACAAAGCAACATGTCATTCTTTAACGTCATCATACATATATATATATATGTATATCCCGCAAGAATGGATAGTTGTAGAGCCCTCCCATCATAGATGATTATATCCCCCAATGAAAGAGGGTCATGTAAACAATAGTAGGTGGTTGGATAAGAAATCAACGTGAACTCCATTTATCATCAGCTGTATATATAATATAGTATAATATAATATAATGCTGCGAATGGGGACTATACCACAGCGTACAATAGTAACCCCATGTAAATAGCCATGTACCACTCCAGCCAAAGGGTCAACCGCAAAAGCCTTTGGCTCAAGCCACCTTACTGCAATTGTCCGAGCAAAACAGAAAGCCATGCTGAAGCTGTGAACTGGACATCATCGACCCACACGAGAACAACCCGTTCCTATACCATCAAGAAGCACATATCGGAGGAAATCTCCGATTCACAGGTTATCAGCCGTAGGACTCCTACGGAGCCTACGAGCGGGTAGCCGCGGGCCTTACAGATGACTGAACAGGATAGCAGCGATAACGCATTTTCTTTCTCTGGACATGCCGTTGCACCAGCTGCCGGCACGCAGTCAAATTCTTCACAGAGTATCGACACTGGTGGAAGCGATGCCTCAGAACTGAGAACGAGCCAACCCAGACGATCTCTGGTTGCTCCTAGAGGGAGACAAATTTCGACAATGCAAGCAATTGAAGATAGGGACAGCACACCTGGAAAGAGAAGATCATCTGCACGACAATTGTCGCCTCCGATGACTCCAAGGACTAAGGCAAAGACTACGTCGTCGAATCCGCCTTCACCGATTCAGGACGCTACTCCATCAGGGACAGGATCTTATCAGCAAGTGAACGCCCCATCAAGTGGTAGCGACATCTTCACTGCCTATCAGAGCGAATTAGCTGAATACAAGACATTGCTGGAAAAGGCTACCGAAGAAGAATCCGTACTTCAGGCAAGATTGACTGAGACGACAGCATATGCCTATCAACAATTTAATTTCCTGGAAAGCACCACTCATCAAGAGATGATGTCGATGACTGAACAACTCCAGATGCTGAACTTTGAGTTGCAGGCTGCACAACAAGAAGATGAAGGTGCAACCTACAGGATCGAAGAGTTGGAGAGGTATCAGACTATGTCGAATGAAGCTGCATCTCATTTGGAATTTAAATATTCACGACTACGTTCGGAATTCGATGAACAAATGGGACAAGCGAACGCAATTATGGTACATGTGGGCGCTGATGCGAATGCTCACATCAATCAACTCAGACTGGAATTAGAAAACGCAGAGATGAATGCAAAGCAAGAAGCTCTGGCAGTCGGATATGCTAACGACCAGACATGTGCCTTACAGATCGAGATGCTCGAGGTTGCCAATCAGAACCAGTCGATGAAGCACACCATGGCCATGAATGTTAGACGACTGGAAACTGAGCTCGATGCTGCTGACATGAAGAGGGACGAGATCATGAAGGAGTTCCGTAGTAACATAAGATCTGAACATGACCGTTATGCAGAAAGTGAACATCACTTAGCTTTGGAGGAATCACAACTTCGACTGCAGGTGGTTCACAATGAGAATTTACAATCTAGACTAGCGACTTCTGAAAGCAAGATTTCTGAAGAATCTCTAGCTGAATCAAGTGGCATGCGGGACATGAGGATAATGGGACTACGTTCGGAACTACACATGAAACAAAGTCTTTTGGATCGAATGCAACAACAACTGACTGAATCGAAGAATCAGTATCATGAACTTTCCTGTCAACAAGCCAGAAGATCCTCGCCAAGCAGATCACCGCATGGAGGAGTACTATATGAAATGTACATGCAAGCTGTGCGTGAGCGTGACAATTTAAAGGAATCCAAGGCTGAAGTTGACAAGTTGTACTTGCAAAACAGAACTGAACTCATTGACACTGAGAACCTGCTCAAAACCTTTCAGCAACATTTCGATGAAACTGGTAAGAAGTATCAAGATGCTCTGAACAAGATCGATCACATGAGCAGCAATCCGAATGTGACGAGTAACTTGTTCGACAGTTTGCACAATGAAATCAATGACAGGGATACAGCCATTGCTCACCTTCATACTGAACTTGAAGCCCAAAAGGATTCTCTTGAGCGTGCTCACAGGGATGCAGGTAAGTCCATCAAGATGTTGAACGACAGAAGACTCGTGATCAAAGGTGCGACTGACTATTCCATTCCTGAAAGCCACTTGACCGAGATGCATCAATTGGCTAGTGAGCGTTTCGCCGAGGTAGAAGAGATGTCGAGCACCATTGCTGCCCTGAGGCTGGAAAACCAAGCTGCTTCGTCTTCATCATTGAACAAACCGGCTACATTACTTGGGTACCCCAGTAGTGCTATGCCTCGAAATGAATGTGAAGAGAAGTGTGCCAAACTGAAAGCAGAATTGGACGAGATGAAGCAAGAGAGGAACGCTGAAGTTCGAAATCTTCAAGATGAATTAAGGAAGATGGAAGATCGGAAAGATTACTACAAGAACAACTTCTCTCAAGCTGAAGATCGTGCCAACGATGAGGAGCAGGAATACCGAGCAGAAGCTGAAGCCTTCGAGAAGCTCAGGAACGAGTACAACACCAATGTCAAGGAGTTGGAGAACCTTGAGAAGGACAGATCTAAGTCATCCGTATCTCTAAGGGAAGCCGAAAAGATCAATCTCCAACCTTGGCCTAAGACCACTGAACTTTCATCCTGGAAGGGAAGTGTTGTTCATGAAGTTTGTGTTGCAAGTGGAGATCGAAACTATGAAGATTGGAAAGCGTGGCTAGCTCCGTGTCTTGCAGATCAACCTGACTTGGAAGCTCTGGCCAAAGCACCCGATGTGAGATTCCAATCCATTGATGCCAAGCTCTCCAATGCCTTGAGGAAAGTCATTGACAATGCTGGGGACAAGTCCATGCAAGTGAAGTATGACATGTCCATGAAGAACCAAATGTATGGGAGGAGTGGGGACTTCATCAAGGGACGAGAACTATTCGCAATGGTCTTGATTAGCTTCAAGTCGCCTGACCACACTGAGGTTCTCTACAACGCCCATCATTTGTACATGTTCAAGTACTATGGAGATGACCAACTTGAGGCCTTCTACAACAAGTGGCTCGACATCATATACAACATGAAACATGATGATCTGCCTTCCGCAAATTCCCTGCGTGACACATTGTTCCGGAAGATTGAACATTCAAAGCTTATGTCTTTTGATATCAGCCGATACCGTACCTATGACGAAGGGCATCCTGAAAAGACTTATGAATTCCTGACCGGTATGATCAAAGGATACATAGCGCGAGGGAAGCAGGAACGACTGTTGAAAGATAGAGAACGTGCAGTGAAACTGTCATTGTCCTCTAACAAGACAACACCTGCCCTGGAAGACGCAGACAAGCCTGCTGCTCCCATTAAGACCAAGAAGGAGAATGAAGCAGCTGCATAGGTGATCCTCCCAAACGACCTAAAGCGAAGGCGAAGAGTGAAGCCGCATCAGTACTCCCAACACCTTCTCCGAAGTCTCATGCCGACAAGAACAACAAGAAAGGCAAAGGTGGGAAGGGGAGATCGTCTTCACCCATTGACAAGAAGAAGATTTTCTGCAATTACTTCTTCAATAAAGGAGGATGCAATAAGGGTGACAAATGTCTTTACAGTCATTCTCAGAAGGTCTATGATGCCAAGATGAAAGGTAAGAAAGGCAGAAGCGGAAGTCGAGATTCGTCAAGGGGGAAAAGTAAAGGGAGCTCATCTTCAGCTGGATCCAAAAAGAAGATATGTTGGAATTGGCAGAAGGGTACCTGCACGTTTGGGAACAAATGTAAATTCCTACATGCAGACCAATCGCCTTCAGCATCATCTGAGAAGACCAGCAAGAAGACACCAAAGAAGAAAGCCACTCCCATTACCATTGATTCCTTCTTTGATAGCGACAATGAGGACGCCATGGATTATGCCTCACC